CAATCCAAGAGAATGAGATAACAATCATAAATACTGGTGCACCCACCTATATAAAATAAACATTAATAGACATGAAAAATCAAACAAGCACTAATACAATTGCAATGAGGGACTTCAATACCCCACTGTCACAAATAGACAGATCAACTAGACAAAAAATCAACAATGAAATGTCAGAATTGAACCAAACTTTTGAACAAATGGACTTAGTAGATGTCTACAGAGTGTTCCACCCCACAACATCGGGATACACATTCTTCTCAGCTACAGACCGGATGTTCTCCAAAGTAGACCACATACTAGCTCACAGAACATGCTTAAGTAAATACAAAAGAATTGAAATTATCCCATGTATATTATCAGACCATAGTGCAATGAAATTGGAAATAAATGGCAAAAGAAACCACAAGAACTTCATAAACACACGGAAATTGAACAACTGATGGGTCACAGATGAAATGAAGGAAGAAATTAGCTAATTTCTATAATTAACCTGATTGTGAACATATCCCTTTCACGGAAAAACAGGTAACTTCCAAGGTGTCATTTTAGTGGTTGTTGAGTATTCCACTATACTTATGCTTCACAGTGTATTTAATTAATCCACTATTTTCAATTAAGTATTTTTAGTGTTTCAGCAATGACTAAAGATCAAGTGGAAATTTATTTCTCGATTGATAAAATAGTATCTCTTAATACTAATAATGTCATATCGGGCCCACATTAATTCAGAGCTATGTGTTGAAAAGATTCTGGGAAATGCAGCTCCAGCTTAGCTAAATTGACCCAATACAACTTGCAGGACAGTTCAACTTGACATCCATATGTACTTTTTTCAACAATATTTAATATGTTTCAAATGAGGGCAAGAACAATATCGTGTTTCCCCTAGCATAATGTACGATCTCTTACCCAACTGAAATGTGCTTTCTCCCTGTGATGTTTAATCATGAGATGTCAGTGTAACTGGTTCAGCAAAGCTTAGCAAATAGGTAAAGCAGTTTTCAGTGTGTCTGTGGGTGTTTCCAGAGTTTATTGGCATGCGGGTCAGCAAGTGAGAGGGAAGCCCCACCGCAATTGTGGGTGGCACCAACCAATAGGCTTGCAGCCTGGATAGAATTTTTTTTTTTTTGAATGGAAGAAGGCAGAAGTGGGCACACATTTGAAGAGCTCCCTTCTGCTCGAGCGGGTGCATGTTTTTCTGCTATGGCTGTGGACATCAGAATTGAGCTTCTTCAGCCTTTCAAGGCTACTCCCACCAGCAACTATCTAGGGAACTCCCAGGCCTTCTGTCTTGGGCTGGGACTGCATCCTGATCCCTCTTGTTCCCGGCTTCCAGCTTCTTGGGCTTGAGCGCCTGGGTCCTCCGTCCCTCAGCACTAAGACGGCACTATGGCCTCTCCCACCTCTGATCCTGTAAGGCACCTAGTAAATCTTCTTGCATAAATTCCTTTAATCCATTTGGGTGATAATAGTTCCTCTTCTGTCCGGATACACCCTCCCTCACTCCTCCTTTTTGGTGGTACTGGGGATTGAACCCAGGGCTTTCACACTGAGCTACTTCTCCAGCCCTTCTGTGGTCTGTATTTGAAGACAATATCTTACTAAGTCCCTCTGTTGCACAGGCTGATCTCAAACTTGTGACTCTCCTGCCTCCAAGGTGCTGGGATCACAGGCGTGTGTCACTTTACCTCCTTCATATTCCTTCTTTGATATCCAGTATTTTAAGTCATGACAGGTTAAATGCTATTAGTAAATTTTACATTACATATGGTAGAATGGGAGACAGGAAGAGAAAAAAACCTGGTTAATGGGTATAAAAATGTATTCATGTCAAAATAAGGAAGAATAGTCATAACTAACACAGTGCTTACTTCTACAAGTACTGCCATATTCCTAGCTGGCATTTATGGCTACATTCTTCCAGTAACCATTTCATATTCTCTTCCCCCTCAGCACACCCCTCAGCTGGTGAGTTTCCTGCCTGCTGGTGTGGCCTAAACCTCCTGAAAGGTCGGTGCCACTCACAGAGCTGCCCCATCAGCTTGTCACTTTCCTCGGACTTTGATTAAGGATGCGGGAAAGATAAGGGGCATCTCAAGGGGTCTTCTGCATCCCAGACATACTTTTCTTTGTAGCTATTTTGTAGTGAAAACCCACTTTTCCCTAATTATCCTGGATTTATCCCTGTAGTCAGTTCAATAAACTTTTACTTCCCTTTTGATTCCCTGGCATGAGGACACTCGAAATGGCCAGGTGACGGTCTCATCTCCCAGTTTAATGGAGACAACAATGTGTCTTTCCATCTTCTTCTCTACTCCTTCCCTTGCACTGAGTACTAAAATTTCTAGATCAGTAGAGCCCAAAGGTGTAGGGGACGGGAAGCAAAGATTCCATTGGTGGATTACTAAAGTAACAAGGAGAGAGCATTTTCCATTTTCTACACTTCATTTCTGGACTCTTAAATCCTATCAGATAAATAACATCATACACTGATCACATATTTACAGCATATAATACATCTTGGAAGACACTGTTGTGCCCAAAGGGTGTTGACATCATAACTGGGTTTTCAAAAAGCCATGTAACTATAACACGTAGCTGCTTTTAGGAAACAGGGCACATACTGAGACCAGTGGATTTCATGGACAGGAGCCAGCTGGCACAATTCATGGCTGTCCAGTGAGTTCCATGGCCAGAAGCAGTGCTATGTGACACACCACGATGATGAATAGGATTCCATAAGTCCACAGAATAGTGACTTAAGGAGCAATGTGTGGGCAAGGAAGGAACATTTAAATTGACTCTGTCTACTTCAGTAAGAGCCAAGAACCTACTCAGTCTTGTCCTGTGTAATAACTGCCTCTGGTGGTTAACTTATCCTAATGAAGACTGACACCATATCGTGGGCCCTTTCTTTTTTAATACCTGGAACTCTGTACCTTGTGCTTGCAAGGCAGGTGGCGGAACCACTGAGGTAAATCCCCAGCCCTCCCTCCACTTTCTTTCTCCCCCAGAATGAGGCTGTTGTGCAAAGCCATCTACTTTTAGGTAGTACAAGAATTCTGGAAGATCCCCACTTTTATCTTCTGCAGTCAACTAGTCATAGGCCCTCTCCATGCTGTGTACAGGCTGGGAAGGAAGAGGCAGTGTGTCAGAAATGTAGGCCATGTGCACCTCAACGATTTCTCATACCACTTATTCCTTTAAGACCTACTTGGTCTTAATGTGCATAACACTTTCATCTGACGATGGAATATTGCTGTGGACACCAACATTTATGAGTTGAGAAGTCATTAACCACAATGCTAATGGGATGGATAGTTCAGATTTTATGGAAACTGGTTGGGCATGGTCAATAGTCTTCATTAAAGCTCAGCAGCAATCCAGAAAGTATTTCTCTATGGAGATTATCTCCCTGCAAAGGAAAGCATAGCTTTCCTCCAAAGCCCTACAGTTTCATGCTGTGGTTCACCTCCTGGTGCTGTCAGAAGCTCCATATACCATCCCTGTCTGTATGGGACCTGGTAAGTCAAATGGCCCAAGTGCCAAGTGCCAAGAGCCACTGCTTGGTGCAGTTGTCACTCAAAGCTAGCAGTTTATTGGGATCTCTCTGTAAATAGGTCAGAATAGTATCACCCAATGAGGTATATGTTTGCCTCCAAAATCCCACGTGGTTCCCTAAACACTGTTTGTCTTCCTTGGTGAGAAAACCAGTCAGATGCAGCAATTACCTTTTACCCTGGAGGGGAGATCTCACATGTTACAGAGCATCCACCCTTTACAAATGACGAAGTCCCATTTGTCAACTTTTTTGTTAACTGTGTATCTGAGTATAAATATTTCATGTTATGGTCTTCAAATAATTTCTCAATAATTGAGTTATGAACTAATTAAAAGTGCAGAGCCTACTCATGGCATCCTGTAAAAATCTGTGGCTTGTTAATGAGAAAACAAACACCAAAATAATCAGCTCAATAATGTGTCTGTCTCAAGTCCCGTCCCCCCTCCCCCCCCGGCCCCAAGTCTGACTTGGATTTAGTAAGTCACTTTAAACGCCCACTCCAAAAGTGACCTTTGTAGAACCTTCGTGGATTATACAAACCCTAAAACAGAAAACAAACCTTTTAGGCCATTTGGCTGTCCTCAAAGAATAATTGTCCTGCACTTTATCCATTTAGCTTGTAAATATAACCCAGATAAGAAACGATGGCTCTCCCTAGAGTGGCAGCAGATAAATTAAGATATTTTAGCAGTACAGCTAAAAAGACCTGCTGATGTTTTGGATGCGGAGGGTAATTAAAGCGAGAAATGAGGCTAACTTATAGACTGGAGGCCTGAATGACTTTACCATTTGTGAGCCGAGGAGGAGGAAAGTTGGGAGAACAACTTACAGTATTCGGAACAGTATTTCGGTCCCACCTGGATATCAGCTTCAAGACATCCCCGTTGAGATGTCCTGTTAATATACGTGACAGATCTGGGCTGGATTAAGAATATATGTATTGATAATACATTATTTTAGTAATTTTTTACAACTGTTATTATTGTTATCATCCCTGAAGAAGGGGACATAAAAGCTCAGTGATTTAGGGCTTTCTCCTTCCTTAGAAGAATCGCCAATTCCTAGAAAAGGACCTTTGCGAAAGTCCCCATTCATCTTCCAGCTCTGCGAACCCGGAGAGCCCCGTGTCCAATCAGCTTCCACGTCTGCTGCGTCAGCAAATGGGGCGGGGCTCAGATCCGATTCCCTCCGCTCTTCTGGCTGGGCCACGTCTGAGACCTCACAGGTCCTTGAAGGTGTATAATCGCCAGCCTGTCCACTGCCAACAAACGAAGCTCCTTACGCCAATTTAAGATTACAAATATTAAGCAATAAATAGATTTAATTATATTGTTTAACGGTTCTACACTGGTCTTTCTATTCTTCTGTAGGTGGTATAAAAGCCATCCCCGAGCTTTGTGGACCTGCCGGGTCGCTGGCTCGCGCAGGCGCGGGCCGCAGGGAGGCCGGGCCGGCTTCCGGCTGCGCGTGGGGCTGGAGGCCCGCGGGAGCGCCGCCGCCGACATGGAGACTCTGTACCGAGTCCCGTTCCTGGTGCTCGAGTGCCCCAACCTGAAGCTGAAGAAGCCGCCGTGGGTGCACATGCCGTCCGCCATGACGGTGTACGCCCTGGTGGTGGTGTCCTACTTCCTCATCACCGGAGGTAACGCGGCGGCGGGCGCTCGCCCTGCCCGGCCCGGCACGGCGCGGGGTCGGTCCCGCTCTGCCTTCGGTCCCGTCCCCTCCTTCGGAGCCGCGCTGGCCCCGAGCCCCGAGCGTTGGCCTTTCCTTCCCCTCCCCGTCTGCCGAGGCCTCGGACTCCCTTCGCCCGCGGGCGGTGCAGCCCTGGGAGATCGGCGGGGTCCCGCTGCCCGATTGTCGTCGTATCGCGTCCTTTCCACGTCAAAAGAGGCTGAGAGGCGTCGCCCGTCCCCGTTGCTAGGCCAGTCCAGCCCCGAGGCCAGTCCAGTCCCGGCAGGCTCGGAGCCGCCACCCCCCCACGCCCGATCCCAGGATTGCTCGGGACCGTGCAGCTGTACTGTTACGTTTTGCAACGTGGTATACTTAGTTCGGAGATGATAGTTTTAAAGATTAGCTGAAGTGGTTCTGTTTTTTTTTTTTTTTAACCTCTCATCCTCGATCTAGAATAGTGATAACTAGGGCCGGGGATTTAGTTCAGTGGTTTCGCCGCCTCTTCCGCAAGCTCAAGGACCCGAGTTCGATCCCCGGTACCAAAAAAAATATATAGAATAGTGATAACTTATGTTCATTTAAATCAATTGCACTTTAATATCTTTTGTTGGTAAGATAATAAATGTCTAGCATTGCTCAGGACACGAAGAGCGACTGACTGTGGAATAAATGAAATTTGAAATGCAAGTGCCTTTTTTTGAATGAATAGCAGGGTCCTTATCTGCAAATGTCTTTCCTGTGAGCCTTGTTCCTTTGGAGCCAGCGCCTTTGCTGGAAGCCTCAGTTTTCCCCCTGGCCACTTGTGCAGTGTTGGTGGTGGTAATGGGAGCTTTTCTGCCCCAGCCCCGGGGAAGGAGGGAGGACACCTATACTAGCGGTCATGGTGGGGTGTCTTGTAGGACGGGTCAGTCTGTCATGGAAAGGAGTCCTTTGTAAAACCTGTGAGTGTACTTCTTTGATAAGCAACTTGTTTCCTTAAGAAATAGCAGCTATCACTGCTTCTCTTGGCAGTGAAAACATAAGGACCTTGTCCCCCGAAGTTTATAATGCTGTAGTTGAGATATAGCAAGCATCACAAAATTTTTACCATTTCACATTGTCACAGATGCAGTGAAGGAAAAGAATAAGAAAATAGCGTTAGCAACATCGTTCGATTAGGATGTGGTTCTTGAGGCAGCAACGTGGAAGCCCAAATCTGAGAGGTTGGAGAGGGTCCGTGCTTGAAGAGGGAGGAGCGGACAGATGCGGAGCCACAACACGGGTCAGTGGCTTTGTGGTTGACTCAGACTGTTCTGGCTTGGGTGGCCGTGGAGACGGAGGATCCCATCACGGAAGTGGGTTGGAAGTCTCTTTAGTAGATTTGGTAGGTGGCTGCCGGAGAGGAGCAGTGAGAAGGAATCTTTCTGCTTTAGGCGGGAGTGCGGTTATCGTGAGACTGAAGAAACAATGTGTCTCTGGTAGGTAGGGAACAGTGAACCAACAGTCACTTGGGTTATAACTGGTTGGCTCTGTGGGGTTTGCAGATGGATCTGGAGCTGAGAACAGGTGAGCATGTTGATCCCGAGTATTTCCTGAACCCCCAGGGCAGACCCTGAAGAGCAGAGGCAGATTCTGTGTTTTTAGGAGCTTTTCCCCAGCAGTAGTGGCACTGACATAATATGAGGGGCCTCGGCACCTTGAGATTCCTTGGTACCGAAGTTAAAGCCCTGGAGTGTAGTTAGAGAAGGGGAGGACCAAGGACCGAGGAACTCTAACTTAATCTGTGGTTTTATAGAAAAGAGGCTTGGCTAGAGAGGTAGCTGGGAAACATGAGCGAAGTGTCACAAAGCCCCAAGAAGAGGTGTTTCCCAGCAGATTGGGTTAGTATGCTGCACTGAGGCTGCTGGGAGGCCTCCTTGGGCGCCATCTGAAAAGTGTCCATTGAGCTTGGCAGCACAGAGGTCCTTGGTGACCTAGCCAACCACAGCCAGGTCGGGAGAATCTTCGCTGGAGTGAGGTGATGAATGAAGGGCAAGCTTGCCTAATTTTTTCCAGAAGGAAGTCTGGCTACTTTTAGAAAGGAGGCGCAGAAATCGGGTATTAGATGATGAAGTCAAGCCAGCCAGCATTGCTGTAGGGAGGGAGGACTTGAAAAGACAGGAGAGAAGAGACATGGAAAAGGATAAAGTCCTTCTGACGCTAGAGGGAGAGGAGTTCTCCTAATTGCAGAAGGGACCCCACAATGACAGGAGGGACTCTGTTTTTTCTTTTTGTTTGTTTGTTTCTTTCCTTCCTTCCTTCCTTCCTTCCTTCCTTCCTTCCTTCCTTCTTTCCTTCTTCTCTTTCTTTCTTCCCTTTCTTTCTTCTCTTCTCTTTCCTGGGCATAGAACCCAGGGCCTACACACTGAGCTGCATCTCCAGCCCTTTTTAGAGTTTTTGGTCTCCCTTAATTGCCCAGCCGAGGCTCAAACTTGCAATCCTTCTGTCTCAGCCTGCCACACTACTGAGATTATAGGTGGCCACCATCATGCCAGGCAAGGACTGACTCCTACTGTCGCTGAATGGATGGCAGGCACTTGGAGTTTGTAGATTCCCTGGGAAGAAGATAAAGGAGTTTCTGTGTGATTATTCCTTCAGGTTAGGGTGAGGGGGACACAGGCTTGCTGTGTTTAAGAAGAGCTGGAAGAAGGGCCAGAGATTTAGCTCATTTGGCAAGCACAAGGTCCTGAGTTCCTGAGTTCGATCCTAGGTATCAAAAAAAAAAAAAAGCTGGAAGAAGTTGGTGCACACCTGTAATCCCAGCAATACCAGCACTTGGGAGGCTGAGGCAGGAGAATCTCAGAGAGTTCAAGGCCAGCCTGGGCTACATAGCGAGTCCAAGGTCAGCCTGAACTACAATAGCAAGAACCTGTCTCAAAAAAAAAAAAAAAAGAGAAAAGCTGGAAGGGAAGGTGTTGGAGACCAGGGGGAGTTGAAGACTGCCTTGTGCATGGATGGTACTATTAACAATCACAGTGACACTGTGGCGGAATCCTGGACCTTAACCTTCATTAGTGGTCGTGAATTGCTAGATTGCCAGTCTGCCAGGTGGTGTGTATTCAAAGTGTCTCCTTGTTTTATGTTTAAGCAAGAAAATTTCTCTGTTGTAGTTGCCTCTCAGGTTATGGAAGCCAATTCAAGAATGTGTGAACATTTTGAACAGAGGTAGACCCTTTAATGTTAAATCTCCCTTACTGTGGAATCACTCTGAGTATTAGCCGTGTTACTGAGTCTGTTTCATTTACGACATCGGTATCTGTTTCAGCGGTGGTTTCGGGAGTCATTCTACAACGTCGAGTTCAATGTCTGAATGGCTCGTCAACACTTAGATTAGCTGGACCATTTGCCCACGGGAACACAATAGAAGACACCCTGTTTAAGTGTAAATGACCTTTAGAGACTGAAAACTGTAATTCCATTTTAAAACTTGGGAGTCTGGTCTGATGGTGCCGTTGTGTTTCTTGCAGGAATAATTTACGATGTTATCGTGGAGCCACCAAGCGTGGGCTCCATGACCGACGAGCACGGGCACCAGAGGCCGGTAGCCTTCTTGGCCTACAGGTAAAGGCAGCTTTTTCATGACTGTGGGAAGGGAGGCCGCTAGGGTGGCTACTTACGAAGATTATAGTAAAAACCCGGGAGTCCATCTGCACTAAAAGCAGCTGCTTTAGAATGTGGAATTCTAAAGTGTGACAAGAGGAAGCGAAGTGTTTAATTCCTTTACTAGGAAGGTGCTATTTCACAGTGGCCGCGCATCACCATTTAAAGGAGGGTGTCAGTTTATGGGACATTTCTAGATGCTTCTGGGGGTTGACAAACTAGCCTTTTTTTTTTTTTTTTGTAAATACAGTTTTATTGGAATTGAGCATGTTCACTATTTACTGTGTGGCTGCTTTCAAACCTGGGGAGCTGAGTTGAGAGTGACACAAGCCAGGGACCTAGGAGCCCAAGGTTTGGGGTGAAGCACAGGACCTCGAACTCTGGGCCCGCCTCCACCACTGAGCATCCCCAGGCCTCACAGGATTTATTATGGGGCGTTTAAGGAGACAAATTGTGGAACCTGTGCTATATATGACATAGGAAAAACAATTTTTGAGACTTAAAGTTTGTTTCAACAATGCAACACCATTCCAGTGTAGTGTGGTTCACCTGAGCAGTGCTCAGCCCATTGCTTTCTAAAGCCCACTCAAAGCCGTATGTGGTGGCACACACCTGCAATCCCAGCGCTCAGGAGGCTGAGGCGGGAGGGTCGCCAAGTTCAAGGCCAGCCTGAACCACAGAGTGAGACCCTGTCTCAAAAACCCACTTGACAGGTAACTACCTAATCATAGCTTTAGCTATATATATATTCACAGTTCTGCTGTTGTATTTAGCATGCTCCTGGAAAGACTGACGGGTTATTGCAGTTTTCTGAAGTGGGGAACTACCTGACCGGAGATCTCTTTTCTTTCGTTTTGGAGTCAGGGCCTTGCTATGTAGTTCAGGCTGGTCTTGAACTCACAACGATCCTCCTGTCTTAGCCTCCTGAGTGCTGGGATTACAGATGTGTGCCACCACACCCAGCATATTCGGAGTTTAAATGAAAACATTTAGTTAATGTAAACTACAATTTCTGCCTTGTTCATAATACCTGTGTATAACAGAGAAGTTTGTTTTTGAGGTCCCTGAACTCTGAAAATTTGACAAAAGCTTTACATCTGTAGAAAAGTCATATGTATGGATATACGTGTACATACACGATTTGCACGTGACTGTAAGGGTTTATAGATTGCTGGAGCCCTTGTGGAGACTGGGCCCCTAGTTAAGAGCACTTGTTTTTAAAATATTTTCCTCAGAAACAGGAAGTTTATCATGACAAAACTTCGAGAAACGTTTCTAGCCAATTCAAAATTAACTTAAAATTGATAATAGACATTAAGTCTATAACTTTTAAAAGCTAAAGTTCTTGGTAAAGGGTTCATATACCTCAAATAATTTAATTTAAAGTATGAATATTGATTTTGTATAGACAGTTGTGTTAGCTGATCTTTTAAATCCCCCTTTATTTTTTTATTTTATTTTTCCTTCCCTTTTTTTAAACACAGATACATGAAAAATGTTGTCTCTTTTGCATTGTTGTATCCCAGAACCTGGAACAGTGTTTGATATCTAGTAGGTTTCTCAGTAAATGTTTGTTGAAGTCACGTGCAGATGACTACCCAGAGCACTTGTAATGAGTAGTTTTAAGGATAAGAATGCAACATTAGCATAAAATGTTTGAGCGTGAAGAAACACAAGCTCCACTGAGGGGAGTTTCGTGTTCTGGATGTGCTCATGAGCCGTGCCTGTACCCCTGCCGCAGGGTGAATGGCCAGTACATCATGGAGGGCCTGGCCTCCAGCTTCCTGTTCACCATGGGCGGCCTGGGCTTCATCATCCTGGACCGATCCAACGCACCGAATATCCCAAAGCTCAACAGATTTCTCCTGCTGTTCATCGGGTTCGTCTGTGTCCTGCTGAGTTTCTTCATGGCTAGAGTGTTCATGAGAATGAAACTGCCGTAAGTCACGCAATACTCTGTATGATTTGCAGTTCACTTTCTGTTAGAAGCGGGTAAGATGATGACTTGGACATGAAACCGCAGATTTAATTTAGCACCCGTTTGAAAAGATGAAAGCCAAGAGCCAGAGACTTGCCCAAGGTTACAGGTTGGTCAGCAGCCCGGTGGAGACCAGTGGGTCTGCTCGGCTGCTGTCCCTGCATGGGATCTCGAGAAAATGTAGTTATCGCTACTGGACATGGATTTTTAAATTCTTTTTTTGTCTTTAAAGTGTCTTTTGGTGAATTCCAGGAGTGATAACACTGTAGCAGGGGAGATTTTTGTTTTTGTTTTTTGGTACCAGGGATCAGTCTCTGGGACCTTGCGCTTCGAGGCAGGCGCTGGAACCACTGAGCTAAGTCCCAGGAAGATTTTTAATCCCTGAACTGCTGCTGCTCTTTGAGTACTGTGGAGGTTGCTTGTTCCTCGCCTGGAATCCCAAATCGGACACTGAGCAGTGGTGTGGCACCTTGGTGTGCTTCCTGTGCGGAGTCGGATAAGCCCCAGGCTGTGCGTGAGGCTTCTGTACCAGGGAGAGCGTGTGTCCACTCGGCCTGGCTCTGGGATGCCTCACTGCGTGCCCATGTGTGGAGAGGGGGGCACAGCACCTGCCGGCCACCGTGCTGTCTGGCTGAGAGGCGCTTCCCTCTTCCAGAAAATTAAGGCTGCAGAGCCCGGTGGCTGGGTTTTTCCGGTGAGGAAGTCATAGCAGAGGTTCAGTTTTGCAAATGAGAGAAATTCTCACGATGAAACATTTGTGCAGCTGCTGTCGACAGCGAGGAGTAGAGAAGGGAGGGGCCTGGAGCTGGGTTTGGGCACAGCTTCCTGGCTCTTACCTTCGGCCTCAGATCCGGTCTGTGGGCCATCAAGCGTGATGTGGATGTGCGTTTATTTCAGAGACTCGCAAGACCCTGAAAGGTCCGAGATTCAGGCTGGATTCAGGCTGCGGTTTTGAGAATAAATGAGTAAACAGTAACTGTTTCTGAGAGGAGAAAGCAAGGCTTGTGCTTAGCACTGTCAGTGGGGAGAAGGTAGAGCAGCCAGAGGAGGCTTGCGCTTTAACACTGGGCTAGAGGGTTTTTTTTTCTGGTACTGGGAATTGAACTCAGGACCTCAGGACCTTGCCCTTGTGAAGCAGGTGCAGCGCCAACGAGCTAAGTTCCCGCCCTGGCCCATCTGTTGGAGCAGACCACACACTGCTCCCACAGTTCTGATGCCCACAGCGCCCCCTTCAGCTGTTAAAGGAGAATAACGCCTACTCCGTCCCGGTGCGGAGGTGGGGATTGAAACCAGGGCCGCACCTGTCTCTAGTTTTTTGAGTTCTTGGTTTGCTTCCTTTATGATTTTTTCTTTTTGGAGACAGGGTCTTGCTATGTAGTTCAGGTTGGCCTTGAACTCTCGGAAAATGTTCTTCCTCAGCCCCCCCCCCCCCAGGTGTTGGGATTATAGGCGTGAGCCTCAGTACCTGGCTTCAACACTTATTTCCTACCAAGAAACACTATGTGCTCTTGATTTATTTGCTCTTTTCTTCTAACATCATGTCTTTATAGCGTAAAAGTATGTCTGAGCCTCCCCTCAGTTTTCCTTAAGGTAGGACTAAATGTTAGCAGCTTGGAATGAGGATATTTCAGCCTAACTGCAGTTTTCAGCTCAGAAGTAAAATGTGGACGTACGGCGAGCAGGCGCACACACTCCAGGCAGCAGCGGGCCGGAAAGGGCCCCTCGGAGCCTTCCGTCGGCGTGTGGTGCGCGTGCGAGGCATGCTTGCCGGAACCGGAACCGGAACCTTGCGGCGTCTGTGGGGTCTCGAGGCGCGGTCTCAGCCCTGCTGGAGTGGTGCCCGCGGGCCGCAGGTTTGCGCCCCTCGGAGCGAGAGGAGGCCCTGGAGCGCGGGGAGGCCCGGCTGTCGGCCTGGAAGGCGGAAGGGAACAGGCCCGGTCGGGACGCGGCTGCCGCAGGTGTGGGCGCCGAGCCCGCGGGGCGGGGAGAGCTGGCGCAGGTGGCACCGGGTTAGGTCTCCCCGCGCCCACAGCTCTGTGCAACTCTGCTTTTTCTCTGATCCCACAGATTCCTTTCCTAGTGGTCGGTCATAAGATCTATAGAAAGGAAAGGCTGGGGCCTCATTACACCGAGTCAGAGCTTTCGTTTACAGAGGGTCTCGGGCGACGCTCCGCGCAACAGAAGGCGCCCGTGGGTGCCCGCGAGAAGGGGGCTGCCCTCCGCTTCTCTGAGAGAACAAGGCGGCGGTTCTGCCGTTTCTTGGGGACACACAGACTCCCGCGGGAGCTGCTCCTCACCCTCTGCTCCCCTGGAGGTTGGGGCTTTACACACCCGGAAGTTTCTTGCCGTAGGAAGGTTTGATTGTTGCAGTTTTGAGACTCCAAAGGAGACTGATTCTGACTCTAGCCCTTCTATATTTCCTTTTCTCTGCTTCGTTTTTATTTCTGCGTTTTTTAGCATATGAGGAATGATGGAAAAATACAGGGAATGTTTGTACAAATTCACTATGATAAATGTGAGCACTGTGCATAGGAAATATGTTCTAAGAAAAAACAAAGTGCTTTGAGACTTTCAGATGAAAAAATACAGTGACGTTTACAGTGAAGTTTAAGTTAGAGAAAATTTATTAAAGTAAAAGATACATTGCCCTGAACTCCCTCAGAACACTGCCCTTGCTTCAGACCGGCTCATCTCATGGTCCTTGCCGCTTCCCGAAGCACCTCTGGTGTTCTCGTTCCTGAGGGTCTGTAGTTGTGCTGTCCTAGCCCCTCGATGTCCTGAGTGGATTCAAAATGCTTCCCCTTCATGGCCATTTTGACTTTGGGAAGAGCCGGAAGTCGCATGGTGCCAGATCCGGTGAACAAGGCGGATGAGGACATGGCCTCGTATTTTCACAAGCCTGCCCTTCCCTTGGACGGCGCTGCTTTTTACACCCTGTAAAGACACTCGGGAAAGAGGCTTCTAGAACTGCTTCCGAAAGTGGCAAGAAGGATGAGTGTGTTGAATCAAGGGGGAGGATTTTGAGGGGAATTATTAGCATGGTGTCTTTTACTGTCATATATTTTTTAAAATTCAGGCATTCACTGTACATTTCCTCAGGCCTTGTATTTGCTTTGTAACATTGTGGGAGAACAGAGAGAGCCGAGTTGTAGCCCTTTATTTATTGGAAAGCAGGGGCAAGATAAATCTGAACCATAATAAAGGAGTCACAGTTACACTTTTGGATTGTTACTTGATTCGTCTTGAACTTGGGACATTTTGCAGCTTTCCGTCTTCTCACTTCCCATGTTTCTCTGACTGTATTTCTGCAGGGGCTACCTGATGGGCTAGCGCGCCTTGGAAAAGGGATCACCGCATTTGCTCCTGTTGATGAAGTGTTAAGGCCTCTGCTATGACAGGTGGAAATAATGAAGAGCAGCAATAAAAAAAAAAATACCGAGTGAGAACATAGGAGGCATTTGAAGCTCAGTCTAGAGTTTTTTGATATCAAAGACAAGTTCATCACAGTGTTTTTTCCTGCTGACCTAGTCTGATGTGTGCTAAGTGGCGTTTTCTCCCTAGTTTTCGTTTGTTAAAGAAAACATACTTCACTTCTCAAACTGTCATAATGAATAAAGTGGTTATTTTTTATGATGCCCTCAGCATTTCTGAGGAGATGCCATTTCTGAACCCCGGAAATTAATGTAATAGGAAGCAGATCCTGTGGCCGAGAAGTGGACAGGATCCGCCTGGCCTCGCCAGTGGTGCTGGAGCTGTCTCATGTGAATGCAGACTGCTTCCTCGCCAGCAGGATGTGTAAAGGAGCAGGAATAAATACTTTTTCTAACGACACCTCTCCCGTTTCCACTGGCTGATCCTGTTTGCCTTTGGTCTGCGCATCATCCAGACCCTTGTCGTGACCCTCAGAGGGGCCCTGCGGGGAGGGTCCACACCCTGCAGACCCTGCGCTGTGCGGCTGAGGTTGGTAGCTAGCTGAACCTGAGCCTGTGTGCTCTGAGGTGGGTTTTCGGAAGCTGGGTGCTGGGTGCTGGGTCGGGGCGGAGGGGCCCTGCCTCTGGCCCGCTGGGAAGCGTCTGTCGCCCTCCTGCCTCTGCCTCCTCTGCTTCCTGGCCGCCGTGAGTGCCCTGAAAAGGGCCCAGGTACACCTGTGGGTTTTGCCAGCTGTCAGTGCCGGTGTTGTGCCCAGTGACGGGAGGGGCCTGGCCGAGGAAAGGGCGGGGTCCCCTCTTCAGGGCTTGGCCAGCCTGGCCTCCCCACGCCTCCTTGGGCCTGGGTCCACGCCTCCCGAGAGCTCGGGGCTGGAGAGAAAAGCCTGCTGGGCCGGCTGCTACCCGGAGGCCTGTGTTACGACCACTCCTTAGTCCAGGGGTCCCAGGCCTCTTGCAGGCACCGGTAAGATGGGCAGAGGCTCCGCCACTGCACCCCACGCCCCGACCCCAGGTCTCTGAACTGCCTGTGCGGCCCTGCAGACAGCAGGTGAGTGACCTGGCCTGCAGGTGGGACAGACCTGTTTGTAACTCAAGCTCCAGGAAGGAAGCTGGCCTGTGGTACTCGGTGCTCGGTACTCATCAGCTGTCAAGTGCGAGTCGTGTTAACCCTGGTGATCTGACCCCTGAAGTCCTCGCTCAGTCCGCAGCTGAAATCCAGCTTCTGGAGCGGAAGCCGCTCTCCTGCTCTGAATGGACAGTTCCAGTGAGGGGCCGCCCGGTGGCGCTCCAGGCTTGGCCATTTAAAAGGCTTTTTACTCTTTGCTCAACATGGTGAAATAATTGAACATCTGTAGTACTTTTACCTTAAAATTCATCTTTCTTTTACATCCATAATTTAAAGCACGCAGTGGACAGTATAAAGATGTAAAGCGGCGTGTAAAGGCGCAGCTGTCGTGTGCAGGGTTTGTGTGAAGAGCCAGCCGACCCAGGAGCGCTGGCACCCAGGGAGTGTTATCACCGGCCCTTGTCATTTTCCATTTCTTGTAACATCAAAGTTGTTGAGATGATTTCTAGTCTTCTTTTTTTTGATACCGGGGATCAAACTTGGGTCCTTGTGCTTGTGCAGCAGGTGATGAAACCACTGAGCTAAATCCCTGGCCCATGTTGAGATGATGTCTTAGCTATGCCTCTCTCGTTAACTGAATAGATGTTTTCACACCTTCGCAATGACAAAAATCATTCCAGTAGTTGGAATGAAGTAAATTTAAGTGTTAACATTTCTTACTGTCCCAAAGGGCAAGTATATAATGGAAGTGTGCGGTAGCTGTCCAGTGCCATGGCCACTAGCCACGTGTTGCTACCTGAATTGAGAGGTGCCATTGTAAAATGCACCTCGGGTGTTAAAGATTTAGTGCCAAAAATAAAATCTCAATATTTTTATATTGTGTATATATTTATAGTACTCAAAACAGTGTTTTTTGCTTTGTGAGACAGGGTCTCACTGTGTATTTCTGGGTTGCCTTGAACTCACAGCAATCCTCCTGCCTCAGCCTCCCCAGGAAACAGTGTTTTGATACATGCCTACACTGTGAAATGGCTAAAGCAAGCTAATAATACATACATTGCCTCACGTATTTCTTTTTCATGGTAAAGAACTCAGCAGTTTGTACTTATTTTGATTAGTACATGTGGTGATACGTCATGACTACATTCATTGTGGGGACTGGTGCCTCTGCCTAACACATCTTCGTTCTTTTTTGCCCCTTTGCCTTCCCCCCTCTCTCCATCTCTCATTATTGACTCCATTCACCTTCACAGACAATAGACCTCTGCTTTCCCTGCCTAAAAAGCTCGTGTCCTCTGACTGCCATCTCCGCTGTCCCCTCCTGCAGCCTCTGGTAACCACGCTTTATTATTTCTGAGTTTCACGTCTCCAGGTTCCGCAGCCGCTGCTTCTCATCTTGATCGTCTTAGCTTCCGGGGTCTGAACTGGTCATCAGTGATCAAACTGTACATTCTAAATATGTAGAGTCTTAGATATCAGGCACATGTGCCACCTCCCCACGATGACTGTAATCATTTGTACCACAATATGTACCAATAAAAAATTTTTTAAATAAATATGTAGTTTTTTAAAATGTCAGTTAAATTTCAGTAAAGCTGTTTAAAGTCACTTTTCTAAAGGGCACTTGTCTGAATAAACTCCTGCCTGTTGTCACCCAGCTCTGCTGTGCCCGGTGGTGCAGCAAGCTCTTTCGCGTGATGAAATTTAGTTCATATAAATTGTCACAAAGTATGCAAATCCTAGTTTCACTTCCACAGTGAGGTCTCCCCTCCTGGTGCTGGACTCCGACCTGTCACTCGTGTCCTCACGAGGACTGCTTGTCTGAGGGAAGCTGCATTGTTTTAGCTCACAGGTTTCAGTCCCAGCCCAATGTCTGCACTGCACTGTGGGTGGTGGCCCGAACCACTGCCAGCGGGCCTGTGCCTCCATTTCCCAGGTTTGCCCTTTCTCAGTTTTTGGGCTCGGAAACATCAGGTCTGGCTCCTTGTGGTCGATCTGGTCGAAATGCTTTGTTGGTTGTCTCCACCATTACTGGGTTGTGCATATGTAGGTCCATTCGGTGGCCAAGGGCATCTCAGGCCATGTCCAGCAGGGGTCACGTCCCTGTGCATCATCAGGAGCTCAGGCTTTGGCCCAGTGAGGTCTGGATTTATGCTCCAGTGCTTGTTTATGAGCTGTCGCCTTCAGCAAGACACTTGGATTCTCCAAGCCCCTCGGTACCTGAAGAGGACTGTGCCAACCCCCAGGCGCTCCGGAAGTGTGGGTCTGAGCTGACTTCCACACCTTGTCCCCATTCGTCCCCCCAGTCTGTGTGTTCTCTGGGCTCGGGTGGGTGACAGCATGAATGTGTGATAAGTGGAGGGGAAGCATGGAACGTCTGCTTTTGTTTTTATGTCCATCTATGAGAAGTTTTTATGATCCGTCTGGTGTCCCTGCAGGGTGGACAGCGCTGCTGAGCCACTGGCTGCCTGCCTCCGAGGGCCGAGGGTGGCCACGCTTAGGGATGGGGATGGTGCCTCCTCTCCCGAAGGTCTGGGCACTGCTGAGGACCGGCCTGCACACACGTGAGCACGCACGTCAGCCTTGGCCCCACCCGGAAGGCTTCCCGGGACAGCAGATGTGTCTCCAGGTGACACTGTGCTCAGGGCCGGCCAGGTGAGGACCAGAGCGGCTGGCATCAGGGTCTCTGCAGCAGCCTTGGAGCTGATGGCAGCTGGGGACAGGGCTGGGCCCAGCCTCACCAGGGTGGGGCACTTGCTCCTCCCCTGGTGAAGCGGCTGCCAGTGACTGCTGGATCAGAGGAGACCACAGAGGCCGGCGGCCTGGCAGCGTCTGCTCCCTGGATGTGCCCTCCAAGGCCCAGCCAAAGGTTATAAGAGCCCAGACCACATAGAAGCCGGGTGGCTGGGCTGGCTGCGGGGCACCTGTGAACCTCCTGGTGCCTGGCCTGCCTGGGTGGGCTCGGGCCCGGAATGCTGTTCGGTGGCCCTCGTGTGGCCAGAGCGCTTGTGTGCACAGATGATTCGGGGTGCAACCGCGTGGTGCTGGATTGGTTGGGGGGGCCAGGCGCGGAGGGGCCTGGGGACCATCAGGGACAGCGGAGGGTGCTGCGATGGAGCCGGGGATGGTCGGAAGGAACCTCGGCAGGAGGAAGAGGCCTTTCCTAGGCAGAGGCGGAGAATGTGCAAACCTGAGCACCCGCTGCCTGCCCCAACGGATGCAGAGGGGACGGGAGTGAAAATGGCCAAGGCGGCGTGTGTGTGTGTGTGTGCCGGCCCCCAAGGCACATGTACGTACTGTGTCTCACCAGTGTGCACTAATACAAACAAACACTGACACTGTTGCTCATGCACAGGAGAAAACGGCACTGCATGAGCCGGTGAATGGACTCGTGGGCGGGCTGGGACTTCTGGCAGGAAGTAGAGAGCGCCAACTGAGACTGAGCGGCTTTGTCCACTTTCTGAGCCGAGCTTAGAGGACACAGAGCCCAGAGCAACACTGCAGGCTCAGATGAATGCTCGTGTTTACAGTCTATCCAAGAGATACACCTATTTGTTCTTTTAAAACAGATTTTATGATAAATTGATAACTACAGTTGCAATCTTTGGTACATCACTATGTCTAGCTCATGATAACTTCTGGTTGTATTAGACCTTGTTTCCTGTTTGTTTGCTTTGGTTTGGGTTTTTTGAGGCAGGGTCTGTCTATGCAACCCAGGCTACCCTTGAATTTACTGTGTAGCCCAGGCTGGCCTGGAACTTGTGGTGGGCGATCCTCCTGCCTCAGCCTCCCTGGCTTGTATTAGATCTTTTCAACTTATAAAAATGCTCCCGCCCCCCCCAATAAAAAAAATAAAAAAGCTTTCCCGTAGGTGACTCAATTCTGACAGTCCTGGTTGGCCAGGTAGGACAGCTGTTGTTGGGCCATGGTGTTGCTCATGGCAGCTGCCCAGCCCCTCTTCCGCTCCATGTTCGGGCCCCTGCTCTGGGCCGCTGTGGGTCTCCCTGAGGTCACCGCGGGGCTCGTGGGGTGTTCTGCTCACTCTAGCACAGAGGATACCCAGCCAGAGAGGCAGGCGCGTCCGGCGGGGTAACTCCGGGCAGACCTTAGCTCGACCCTGTGACCCGAGCCCGGGGTCCTCTTGTCCCCCACGAGTGGCAGCGACTTTAACCCGGAGAGCAGCCGGAGAGGCGGCTGCGTCCTTCTCCCGACCTCACGCATCTGCGTGAGTCAGTGTTCCCCAGACTTCGCGTGAAGAGTTTTGATAAGCAACTCGACTTCTCTGCTCCTCTGGCTGGGGACCTCTCGGTGCTGTAACGATCCTCTTTGTTTGTAAG